AGATGCTAGATGCTAGTAGATTCTAAATCCTCAAAAGAACCTGGTAGTTGAAAAATACTATAATGATTTTAACATATAAAAGAACAGCCAGCATCATTAATTTTTGTAAAAATTTTCACTATCAAAAGAGATTTCATAAATGAAGTTTAATGTTAACTATATAGATAATTTAAATTCCAAAAGCCAGAACAATCTGACTGTATATTTAGATGCTAGTAGATTCTAAATCCTCAAAAGAACCTGGTAGTTGAAAAATACTATAATGATTTTAACATATAAAAGAACAGCCAGCATCATTAATTTTTGTAAAAATTTTCACTATCAAAAGAGATTTCATAAATGAAGTTTAATGTTAACTATATAGATAATTTAAATTCCAAAAGCCAGAACAATCTGACTGTATATTTGAAATAAATTTACATAACTAAAAATGCTGAATGTACTGTGTAAATGCACTTTTAAAACAACTGGCAAATTCTGTATACAACGTAGAGAATCTGGGAATATAAATTCTGATATTATGTAGTATTGCTTATCAATTAATAATAACCAAGGAACACTTCCAAATGAATACGCCTTATTAATGTTTTGTAATTTTTTACATGAGTCCAATGAAACTGCCAACCAGCTGGTTAATTTATTCAGCACAGGTGTCTGCTATTTATTTTTCAGCACTTTGCTAATTTTTCTTCCCCAATACAGGTTGTTGTAGAAATTGTATTCCTTTGCTTTGATGTATGCACTTTGTCCTAAGGCCATGCATTTTTTATTTGCACAGTATATGTTATACTGCTCCCCAGCTGTTTATTCCTAAAATAAATATTCCATGGTTACGCACAAGAATTACAAAAATCAGACTGTTGTTACATAAAACTATAATATGCAAAAACACTAATTAATCTTGAATTTCCAAGATAAAATATATTGGTATGTATTTCTATTGTTGTTACCAACTTAAATGCTACCACGTACTATTGCCTAAAGCTGAAATTTCAACTATTTATTACATTTCTCTAGGAATTAAATTTCAGAAGGTGGTAAGTAATACATAACAGTGATTGTGTATGCAAACTTCTTCTTCCTTAGTACAAGAAAAACTGGGTTTTAGCAATTTATCAGGCAGAAGCTATCCAACCCTAGGAACTAAATCATGACAGATGAAAATCCATTATTTTCCTTTCTTTCCTTTTTGTTTGTGATGGATTTAGAATTATCATGTACTTCAGTTTTACCCAATGAGTTAAGGAAGAG